CTGTGGTCCAGAGTGTGTCTGTGGTCCATCAGGTGACGGGTCGATGGTTTTATGGAGGAAATAAACAAGCAGTCGCTGCAGTAAAAAAAGAAAAAAAATCCTGAGTGTTGCTTTAGTGTGTGTTCATTATCTGCTCGTGCTCTTTAATGACAGTCAGATGCACCGCCTCTAATTACTCACACACACACACACACACACACACTCAGGGGAGACGGTCCACAAGGTCACTGAAGGTTGTCATGTTTATGTTCAGTTCGTGAAACTTGGTTAAAAAAAAAGAGAATGAAATAAGAATGACCAAGAGGCAGTGCTCTGTGTGTGTGTGTGTGTGTGTGTGTGTGTGTGTGTGTCCGTCTGTCCGTTTAAATGAACGTAACCTTGACTAAAGGGCAAAATAAAGGGCAAATTGGAATAAATTTATCAAATTACGGAGCGCGGTGCAATATTTATAACCAGCAGATCCACCGTTCATTACAACAGATTAAATACCAACTTGTATCAATAATTCATCTTCTTAATCTTCATCTTCGCTGCAATTAAGAAGAGGAGCAAATGACGTCTCCGAGACGTCTCGCACATTATTTTTACCGCGGATGTGACTCCGTCCCTTCTGCGCCGCCGCCAAAGCCGTAACATGTTTGGACACATTTATCTGAATCCATTATCGTCGCTGCCTAATTATGATGTCGCTAATAATGTTGGTTAACTTTAAATCACTCTGGTCCAGAGGAAGTGGAGTGAATGAGCGTTAACAACAGTGAGAGGAAAAGGAGTTAGGGATGAATCACAAGAGTAATGGTAAGGAAATAAAAGATGGAAGTGTTTTAACGTTGTGATTAAACTGTGTGTATTTTATTATCCTACATGAATATTCATGCCTTTAATCACTTATTTAACTTTCCTCCCCGTCCACCTGCCATCGTCTGTTAGCAGACATTTGTTAGCTGGGCTCTGTAGCCTAGCAGCCAGTTGATTGCTTTTTGTCGTTGCTGAACGGCAGTTGAAAGGATAAAAGTTAAAGCTGTTAATCTAGTGCCTAATAAATGCACGTCTGTGGCCTGCTGTGGAGAGTCAGTGGTTCTCTGGGTCCTGGTGTCACTGACTGCTCTGTCTTCACATGAACTCGAGACTAGAGACTCGAGACTAGAGACTCAAGACTAGAGACTCGAGACTAGAGACTAGAGACTCAAGACTAGAGACTCAAGACTAGAGACTCAAGACTAGAGACTAGAGACTCGAGACTCAAGACTAGAGACTCGAGACTAGAGACTAGAGACTCCAGACTAGAGACTCAAGACTAGAGACTAGAGACTAGAGACTCCAGACTAGAGACTCAAGACTAGAGACTAGAGACTCGAGACTCAAGACTAGAGACTCAAGACTAGAGACTCAAGACTAGATACTAGAGACTCGAGACTCGAGACTCGAGACTCGAGACTAGAACAGATGTCCAGCCATAACCCCATAAAGAACCAATCATTTCACCTCACAGAGACTCAGCAGTTGTTCATCTTCTGCCTCTTCATCCCTAAATTGTAGAAATTTTTTTTTTTTTTTTAATTTTCCTCAGTGACCCAACCTGACCACAGGAGGCAGCACTGGAGACTTTTTGAACTAAAATTGTGAACCTTGGTCTGGTGGCATGTCAGAGCGCAGCAGTGGGTAACCGTGGTAACTGTTGGTTTTGGAGTTGGATAATCTCCCCTGGTGACCTTCAGTTTTATCTGCCTGACTTTGTCTTCTGTTGGTCTGGTCTCATTTTCATCTCTCAACTTTTATTAATTAACAGATGATGTGGAACAACAGGTGGAGTGAGGTCATTGTTAGAGGCGGGGCTTTAACGACTCTCTGAAGACTAATACACTGTGTGTGTGTGTGTGTGTGCGTGTGTGTATGTGTCTCCTGGTGCCAATAAGATGTTGTTGTTATTGGTGTGAACATATGTTCTCACCGTGACGAGGTCACACACTCCTCCATCTCTCCGACATTCACTCGTCCTTCTCTCTTCCTCTCTCACTTACACACACACACACACACACACACACTCTTCTTTTCCTCTTCACAGTGAAATGGAAAACATGAAAGAGGATAAAAGATGAGCAGAGAGGAAGGAGAGACGTTTATCCATCATCCCCCTCATCCTTCATCCATCTGTGTGACTCCTATCATCCCTCCTTCTCCTCCTGCTCATTTCATTTCCTCCATCCATTCATCTCCCTCTTACCTTTCTTGATAATATTCCAGGATTTTCTGTCATCCCTGCCTTTCTTTCTTTTCCTTCATTTCCCCTTTCCCTTGTATTCTTTCTCTTCTTTCTCTTTCCTTCCACTCCCACACTTCTCCTCTTCTTTTCTTTCTTTCCTCCGTCACTAACTCCTCTCTCTTTTTCTTTGTTCCTTCTCTCCCTTCTTGCTGTTTTCCTTCTTTTTACCACTTTGCTTCTTCCTTTTTTGTGTAAGTTTTTACCTCCTTGTTTATTTACTTTTATTCATTCG